CCTCTCTATAACTCTTCCAAATAAATAAATAATCTTTTAAAATTTTTTTTAAAAATACAATGGGGAAACTAAGGTAAAACCAACATAAAGAAATAACCAGATATATCCACAGTATATGACACAGAGATAATTCATACCCTTTTTTGTTTTTTTTTAAAGATTTATCTATTTACTTGAAAGGCACAGCCATAGAGAGGCAGTGGCAGTGGCAGTGGCAAAGAGAGAGAGAAAGTCCCCCATCTGCTGGCCCACTCCCTAGATGGCCGCAATAGCCAGAGCTGCACCGATCCGAAGCCAGGAGCCAGGAGTTTCTTCCAGGTCTCCCCCACGGATGCAGGGGCCCAAGCACCTGGACCATCCTCTACCGCTTTCCCAGGCCATAGCAGAGAGCTGGATGGGAAGTGGAGTAGCCAGGACTCGAACCAGCACCCACTACATCACAGCACCGGCCCCATAGTCTAAAAGAAATGAGTTAAAGGCTCCAAACAAAGAAGCAATAAGGAGATGGAAATGCCATTTACCGTGATTTGAACAGTATATGCATGCCTTTGTTGAACTATCATACTGTGCCACACAAATATGTACATTATGTTAATCAAAAATGAAAAAAGGGAGGAGGGGACTTGTTCTAGGTTAAGAAAGATTATATAAATGTGATATCTAGAAGCAAGGCATAAACCTTGATTTCATTCTAGTGGATTTCAGAGACAACTGGGAAAATGTGAATAAAGACTAGCTATTTGATGTTATCAGTGTATTAGCATTTTGAGTGGAATAGCAGCACACCTAGGTAGGGAAAAGTGCTTATTCTCAGGAGAAGCATGCAACTTTTTTATATGTTTAGAAAACTCTCATAATAGAAAGCTTAAAACATGCTGAAGTTAAAAATAAAAAGTATGGGGTGGGCATTGTGGTAGAGTGGATTAAGCTACCACTACACCCACATATCAGAATGCCTGGTTCAAGTCCTGGCTACTCCGGGCTTCTGATCTAGCTTCCTGCTAAGATAATGATCCAAGTACTCAGTTTCCTGCCAGCCACCTGGGAGACCCAGATGGAGTTTCTGGCTCCTGACTTCAGCCTGGTTTAGCCCTGGCTATTGCGGGCATTTGAGGAGTAAACTAACAGACAGAAGATGGCTCTTCGTCTCTACTTGTCTCTTCACCTTTCAAGTAAATACATGTTTTAAAAAAGCAGGCACCAACATTTCATTTTTCTTAATTTCAACAATTAGGATAAAATCAGAAACCAAAGCTACTTTTCCACAGGGATGAGTCTCTTAAACATAAATGTAGCATGGCTTTATTTTTGTGCCCTCTGGGGCCATGCATACATAATAAATGTTAAAATGGCCTTATTTGAGATCTGCAGTATGCCAAGTATGAGAAAACAGATGGTGGGCCATCGTTGTGGCATAGTAGGTAAAGTTGCTGCCTGCGTATGAGCGGCAGTTTGAATCCCAGCTGCTCCACTTTTTTTTAAAGATTTATTTTCTTTATTTGAAAGACAGAGTTATAAATAGAGAGAGAGAGGGGGAGGGAGAGAGGTCTTCCATCCGCTGGTTTACTCCCAAATGGCCACAACGGCCAGAGCTGCGCTGATCAGGAGCCGGGAGCTTCCTCCAGTTCTCCTACGTGGGTGCAGAGAGGCCCAAGTACTTGGACCATCTTCTTCTGCTTTCCCAGGCCATAGCAGAGAGCTGGATTGGAAGTGGAGCAGCCAGGACTCAAACTGGCGCCCATAAGAAATGCTTTAACCTGCTGTGTCGTAGCACCAGCCCCTGCTCCAATTCTGATCCAGCTCACTGTTAACATGCCTGGGAAAGCAGCAGCAGATGATACTAGTGGCTCAGGCCAGGCAGGCCCCTTGTACCTGTGCAGGAGACCCAGAAAAAGCTCCTGGCTTCGGTCTGGCACAGCTCTGGCCACTGTAGCCATCTGGGGAGTAAACCATTAGATGAAAGATTTCTCTCTGTCTCTTCTCTGACTCTTTCAAATAAATAAATAAATACATCTTTAAAAAAAAAAGATGGTTTCTAGTCTCAAGGAGCACAAAAAAAGTATGGCATAAAACATGAGGATACTTCAACAACTTCATGAAAAAAGGTACTGAAAAGTAAGTTCAGGGCCAGTGCTGTGGCTTAGTGGGTAAAGCCACCGCTCGGAGTGCTGACATCATATATGAGTGCCAGTTCGAGTCCCGGCTGCTCCACTTCCCATCCAGCTCTCTGCTATGGCCTGGGAAAGCAGTAGAAGATGGCCGAAGTCCTTGTGGGTCCCTGCACCCACGCTGGAGACCTGGAAGAAGCTCCTGGCTCCTGGCTTCAGATCTGCGCAGCGTCGGCCGTGGCAGCCATTTGGGATGGAAGGAAGACTTTTCTCTCTGTCTCTGTCTCTGTCTCTCTCTGTCTATAACTCTAGCTGTCAAATAAAAAAAAATACTGCTAAAAAAAAAAGAAAAACAGATTCTTTTGATAAACTTCAATCTCACCCATCTCTAAAGGCAAGAATCACTATGTTCCATTTATCTCAGCAATGTAACTAAAGTAAAACTGAAAGATTAATAGACATTACAAAAAAAACAAAGATTGCTCTGTGGCTGTGACCTTAATAAGTATATCTAAGAAGTTAATTCCGGAAGGGAAGACTTGATACCATTTTGATTCTGCTAACTCCCAATATATGGCCAATGGGTAATGACCACTTCCTATACTGTAGATGCCAGAGGAATCCCTCAGCAGATGCAACATCACTTGGCATTAACTTCCAGCTACTGTCACTACTGCCTACCAAGGACTGATAACTGGAATATAAAAAAGCTCTACAGCTCAGCACTTAAAAATCATTTACTGCTACCAGTTATCCATCATATCATCCCCCAAAAATGGGAAATTCTATTCTATCTCACAAGTACTTCCATCTAGACTGAAGTTGTAGGGGTTCTGTCTTAGTGGTGGGAAAGCATTTGTGTTCAATGCATAAAGACAAAACAGAATTCTCCAGGCAAAAAGCAATAAAAACAATAATAAGGTAAAAAATCAAAACATAAAGAGACAAATGGTTTATACAGTTGATATGGGGCTGATTATCAATGAACAAAAAGGAGTAAATAAGAAATATATTCTTGGGGTCGGTGCTGTGGCATAGCAGGTAAAGCCGCTGCCTACAGTGCCAGCATCCCATTTGGGCGCCAGTTCGAATCCCAGCTGCTCCACTTCTGATCCAGCTCTCTGCTATGGCCTGGGAAAGCAGTAGAAGATGGCCCAAGTCCTTGGGCCCCTGAACCCACATGGGAGACCCGGAAGAAGCTCCTGGCTCCTGGCTTCAGATCAGCTCAGCTCCAGACACTGTGGCCATCTGGGGATTGAACCAGTGGATGGAAGATCTCTCCCTCTCTCCCTCTCCCTCCCTCCCTCCTTCCCTCCCTCTTCCTCTCCCTCTCCCTCCCTCCCTCTCTCTCCCTCTCCCCCCTCCCCCTCCCCTCTCTCTCTGCCTCTCTATGTAACTCTGACTTTCAAATAAATAATCTTTTTTTAAAAAAAGAAATATATTCTTTAGTTTCAGTTATTGCTGCCATATCAATACATTCTGAGAAAAAAGAAAAATCCCATATAAGTTCTCTTATATTGAACTGTAATTTAATAACATTTCACAGCATTTCAGAGGAGGAAAAAAATGCCAGGCTGTTTAGTGTTATTCAAAGGCACAAATGTGTTTATTTTCCAAATGGCATAAGCAACCCTCCTTTGCATATACGTCTGGTAAATGAAGTTGAGGAACTGTTTAACATGAATGTCAACCAAGATTTTTTTGCTTTCTAGAAAGAAGAAAGGCTACAAGAGGTAAACAGAGTCCCAGAGGTACCCCATGTGATTAGAAACCAATTAAGTTAAGCAATTACTGAAACTGCTCTCTCTCCTTTGCGCAAGAAAGGATCACAGGTGAGTTTCTGATATAAAAATGGAAATGCTTACATGCAAAAATGCCAAAGCTGTTTTGGAGACAAGAGTACTTTAAAGAGAGACCTATTTACATGGTAAAATGTACACAGGGATGTTTGATCAGTGTAGATAGTGGATTTATAACCTGCTTGTTTAGAATTGCCAAAATGATGTTTTTAGACAGAGTATTTTCATAGTCAAATTTAGTATTCACAATGAAAGAGAAGGGAAACTAGAACTAGATGAAGAGTAGGCAAGAACATCATCACTATGGCCTCTTGGCTTTCAAGAGTTATTTTATATGCTCTTAAGTACATTTTGGAGAAATAAGAATGAATTTTTTTCATCTACTCAAAAGGCAGAATGGCAGAGAAAGAGAGATAGAGATCTTCCATGCATGAGTTTACACTTCCCAAATTCCACAGCAGCCAGGGCTGGGCCAAGCCAAAGCCAGGAGCCAGAATTCCATCTTGATCCCCCATGTGGGTGGTAGGGGCTCAAGCACTTGAGCCATTATCTGCAATCTCTCCCAGGATGCACTAGCACAAATGTGGAAAGGAAGTTGGAAGTTGAACAGCCAGGATTTGAACCAGCACTGATATGGGATGCAGTAGTCCCTGGTGCGCCACAATACTCGCCCCAAGATCTGTATTAATGTATACCATGCAGAACTATAAACCCCAATTTCAGTATATATTACTTAAATTAAATTTTAAAAGACAGCTAGCCTGACCCAGTTCAGATTTAATTACTTTGTGAAATAAAAATTAAAGCCAACTTATAATGTTCTGCACAAATAACTGTGCTTCAACTTTAAAAGTACTTTTAAGATGAAACTATTCTACTACTTACCTGGTTCATCTTTCACACACAAAATGTATTTAAAAGAGCTTAAATGCACAATCTACAAAAGAGCAGGCTTCTTATTCAAAAACTATGCATTTTTTGGCTCACAATCAAGCCTGGGAATCTTATCTATAAAGACATACTGTTTTAAATGAATATTTGTATTAAGTCTGGTAACGGAACAGTTCTGTCCATTGCTTTAAAATACACTAACCTTTTCAAAAACATTGGATGGGGTCATCAAACAAAACCTGATGTTCTGAATGATGGTATCAGTATGTCTCCAGCGTCTTCTATCATGTCGAAGCCAAGACTGCACAGCCTCGTACAGCTCTATCTCTGGGAACCTGCTGAGATGATCATTATCCAAATAAGACATAAGCTTCTCAAAGCTCAGATAGGACAGGAAGTCAGGCCTGGACATGAGTGGCACAAAGTTTTCTAGCAGAAAGGCATCCAACTTCTCCCTGACTCCCTCAATGTTTACACCGAAATCATCTAAGAGTCTCATAATTTCGGCACAATTTTCTAGGCAGATTTTCGCTAAGAGAAAAGAGCAGCAGAACTTCACCACTTCTATGAGTTGCACATACATGGCAGCTTGAAGAATCTCATGGACAGTATTCATACTCAGTTCTATAGTTCCATAGTACATAAACTGAAGGACATGGCTAAAACCAGTGGCAGTTAGCCCTTTTAAATGGATCTTGTTCTGATCTCGTTCCCGCATGTCTGCGGTAAACATAATTCTGAAGTAATCACTCTGGGTGGCCAAGAGTGCTTTATGGGCCTGGAACTGATGATCTTCAATAACCAGAGTGACATCAAGAAGCAATCCCTCCTCATACAGTGCTCTGAACCCAGCAGAGACACTGGTGTCATGGATGGAGGAACAGAATCCTTCCACGTCCCCTGCCATGGCCTGGAAAAAAAGTAATCAAAGAAAAGTGTTAATAATTTCCATGCATTTAGAAGACACGATGAACTCAGAACTCAACAATTTTTATAATTATGTCAATTCCATTCCTAAGTCTTAAATGGACAACACTGTGGGAGAAGACAACCTAGAAATTTGTAGACTAATGTTTTTGGTTTCCCTACACCTGGAAAGGAAAGTATTAAAGACATATCACACACAAAATTGTTAACTTACAAACAACACATGCCTATCCCACTGATTTTATACTGTCCATTAAAACATGCTGCAAAACTAGCAACACAAAAAGGATTTCACAGCCAAACATTAAATTATGAGATAAAGAAATTACACCAATGTGAGGACTCCTAGAAATTTATCCAAAAGAAATAATCAGATAAATATACCAAATTGTAGATACAAGGTTTTTCTTTCAAGTCTTATCTATAATAAAAAATTAGAAAGTATTCAAAAGCCTAACAATAGATTACTAAATATAACAATTAAAAATGATGGCAGTGATTTACCTAGTCTGACAAAGGACACTTATTAAAAAAGCAGACCTTTAAAAACTAAACAAACATCTATTTGTTTAGATGAGAAAAAGTCTAGAAGAATATATACTAAAATTATGTCCCTGGGTAGTGGGATTTCAAGAAAAGTGTGTCTTTGCCTCTTTACTTACCTCATTAACCTTATTTTTAAAAATGATTATGCATTACTTCTATTTAAAATATAAACATAACTTTTTTTTTAATTTATTTGACAGTGAAAGAGAGAGAGAGACAAGAGAGAAAGGTCTTCCTTCCGTTGGTTCACCCCACAAATGGCCATTACGGCTGGAACTAAGCCGATCCAAAGCCAGGAGCCAGGTGCTTCCTCCTGGTCTCCCATGCGGGTGCAGGGCCCAAGCACTTGGGCCATCCTCCACTGCACTCCCTGGCCACAGCAGAGAGCTGGACTGGAAGAAGAGTAACAGGAAAACTAGAACCCGGTGCCCATATGGGATGCCGGCGCCACAGGCGGAGGATTAATCAAGTGAGCCACAGTGCTGGCCCTAAACACATAACTTTAAAGAAAATTAAACTACATCTCCGTGTAACAGAGAAATGAAGCTAAGATAGTAGAACTGAAATTAGACCTCTTAGGAAGAATAAACTAACTCAATCTATTAGACTATGAAGCAAAATAATTTTTTCCTTTTCAAACAAACCCTCTAGGCCATCTAGCCTCTTAATTCACACCCTTACACAGCTACCAGCTTCCTCCCCAATGACCTATCCACCATTCCTAAATTCCCTCCCAATGCTTTCCACTGTGTCCCATGGAACACTGCTTCACTATAAACAAACTCCCTTACACACTTAAGTTGGTACAAAAAGTTCCCTCCTCAACCTGATTTAAGTAAGACAGTTTTCCTTAAAGTCACAACTTCCAAGCCTCCTGTCTCCTACCTCTATCCCTGCACCTACCCATGTTTAAAAAAAAAAAAATACTCCTTTAGAGCTTACAGATGGACTCTCAAAGCCTTCTCTTAACTGTCTGGTCCTTTTCTCTAAATCTGATGTTTCATCCAAACAAAAACTCATCTTCTGCTCCTTGTCACTGACTAAGGTGTACACCTTCTGATCACTCTCCCACATTAGCTGATGAATGGCACTTGGCAAAGTAGTCATCTTCACCTCACCAATGTTCACAGATGATCACCCATCCAAAACTCCTTTGACCAGGCCTGTAACCTTTCCCCTTACCCCACTGTAAATCCTATTTGCAAATCCCTAGAACCTGGCCAGAAGTGATGCACTCCTGAACGCTGTCAACTTCCCACTGAACCATTCTATGACCTCCTAACATTACCTCTGTCCTTTCCCAGCTTACACTTTCCGTATCAGAGTAATCACCCTCTTGCTGGGGCCTTTATTGCCCTCATCTCTTCGTCTGCCTTGTTCAATCAGAACTATGCTACTGGTCCTTTAATCTCTGGTAAACTTTCAGTGCCTCTGGGCAGTGTTTTCCTTTGAACAGTTGTGAGCACTCCCTGCTGATGTACACTGGATACACAAGATTTTATCAAGCTAAGGACAACCAATAGAGATAAACCTAATACTACAACCAATTTAAAGCACTGTCTAGAATACCCCATGACTTGGAACTGTAGGTCTGAGCTACCTGCTGAAACACTAGCCAGACTATGCCAGCTTAGAAGCGAACAACCAACATCTATGGCTCTGAAACCTCACCAGTGACAATTCAGGACCCAGTCTCCCAAGTCCTTGCCTTTCCCTGGTTGGGTGTCTGAAGGGACACAAGCCCTCCAATGAAATAACTGGTACAACTGACTGATGTAACCTGCTCTACCTCCTTCAGAAGGCTAGCAATGCCAGTACCACCATTCAACTAACCAATGCTCCTCGCTCCATTATTTGTTTAAAGGAAGAGCACCTCTGTGTGACAGATACTATGCTAGGTATGGAGAAATGTGCTGCTCAGGAATCCTCTTTGCGTCCTGGATTTTCTGAGCCCTAAGCTGCTGAGGGGAAAAAGGCAGCTTTCACAGACACGTGACAGACACCCCTTCTCCACGCTTTGGAATAGGACATCACTATATTTATTACTTTGCTTCATCAATACGTTGTCTATAACACTCTATATTTAACTTCTTAACACAGCAGAGTGCCTCAAAAAGTTCAATCAAGCTGAATTAAAAGTTTTCACTGGGGCCAGCTCTGTGGCGCAGAAGCTAGCTAGCTCACTCGCCCTCTCGCTCTTCTCTCTCCCTTTAACTCTGCCTTTCAAATGTTTCAAATGGACGCATGGACGGACTGAAGGAAGGAAGGACGGGAGGGAGGGAGGAAGGACAGGAGGGAGGGAGGGAGACAGGGAGGCAGGGAAAGTGCCAGCACTGTGGTGTAGAAGGTTAAGCCTCCACCTGCAATGCCAGCATCCTATCTGGGCGCTGGTTCAAGTCCCAGCTACTCCACTTCCAATCCAGCTCCCTGCTATGGCCCAGTCCTGGCAGCTGCTGCCATTTGGGGAGTGAACCAGTGGATAGAACAGCTCTCTCTCTGCCTTCCAAATAAACAAATAAGTCTCTAAAAATTTTTAAAAAGAAAAAAACTGATAAAAAATTTTTCATTTTGATGCAAAAAAATCTGAAATTTAAGCATAGTTTTCCCACAATATACGTTTCTTTAAAAAAATTATTTTATTTATTTGAAAGAGTTACAGAGAGAGGTAGAGACAAAGAGAGGTCTCCCATCCGCTGGTTCACTCCCCAGATGGCTGCAATAGCCAGAGCTGTGTCAATCTGAAGCTAGAGCCAGAAGCCTCCTCCAGGTCTCCCATGTGGGTGCAGGGTCTCAAGGACTCGGGCCATCCTCCTCTGCTTTCCCAGGCCACAGCACAGAGCTGGATCGTAAGAGGAGCAGCCAGGACCAGAACCGGTGCCCACATGGGATGCCGGTGCTTCAAGCCAGGGCTTTAACCCGCTGCGCCACAGCACCGCCCCCCCCCCCAATAATATACGTTTCTACAAACTTTTTAAAGACCCTCCCCTCTTTTTAAATTTAAATTTATTTTTTATTTATTTGAAATACAGAGTTAGAGGTAGAGCCAGAGAAAGAGAAGTCTTCCCTCCGCTGCTTCACTCTCCCAAATGACCACAACAGCCGGAGCTGGGCTGATCCTAAGCTGGGATCCAGGAGCTTCTTCCGCATCTCCCATGCAGGCGCAGGGGTCCAAGGGCTTGGGCCATTTTCTACTGCTTTCCCAGGCCAAAGCAGAGAGCTGGATCGGAAGAGGAGCAGCCAGGATTCCTACCAGCGCCCACATGGGATGCTGGCACTGAAGGCTGGGGCTTCAATCTGCTGTGTCACAGTCCCAAAATTCCCCTCTCCATATTAACTTTTTTATTCAATAGTTATCCCAGCCTGAGATCATAAAAAAAGACAAAAGAAACCTTGTTAATAAAGAAAAAAGTCTGACATAATAATACACTAAAAATATTTAAAATGCTTCTCATGGGATACTACTGCTTCCAAGGCAGTTTTACCTTCTTCCTTCCTTTCTGCTAATTCGTGTTTCCTAAGCTATCGACAATGAAAGTATATAACTTTTGTTTAAAGATTTTTTTTATTTATTTCAAACGCAGAGTTACAGAGAGAGGTGGGGAGGAAGGAAAGGAGGGAAGGAGGGAGGAAGAGAGAGAGAGGTATCTTCTACCTGCTGGTTCACTCCCCAAATGGCCACAACAGCCAGGGCTGGGCCAGGCTGAAGCCAGGAGCCAGGAGCTTCTTCCAGGTCTCCCACCTGGGTACAGCAGCCCAAGCACTTGGGCATCTTCTGCTGCTTTCTCAGGCCATAGCAGAGAGCTGGATCAGAAGTGGGGCAGCTGGGACCTAAACCACTGTAGGAGGAGGCTTTACCTGTGAAGCCACAGCGCTGGCCCGAGTATATTACTTCTTAAAACAAAAAGAAAGAAAAATCTTTTAAAGCTCTTTATTGCCAACTGAAATGGTTACATCCTAGTCCCTATTTCCCTGGATCCTTCTGTGGCATGACTTATGTCCTCAGCTCATCACTCACTCAGCTCCATGACGCTGTTGTTCTTCTGGTTCTCTTCCTATTCTTGGACTAACTCATTTCTCAGTCTCCTTCATGGACTCATGTTTCTTCTGTTACCTGTAAAATTCTGTTCTCCAAGATTTTGTCCTTGCCCCTTCCTCTTCTCACCTCAATGCATTTCCCTAAATTACCTTACCTAAACCCAGGTTTTCTACCAAGACCTACTTTTACCAATACAGTAACAATCTCTGTCCAACCTCTATCTTTAATCCAATCCTATACAGATTGAACTAACTGCCTAGTAGATACTTTGGGGTGCCGCCATTTGGAGATAATCTTATTTTGGGATTTCAAAATCAACATATCTAAACGGAATCATAGTTCCACCCTCTCCCTAGTTTCTTGTTCTGTATTCTCCATCTTCCAAAAGGCATTCCAGAGGC